TTTTTTTGGTCAACAGATGTTACAGATCTATCAAGTTTCGTTTTAATCTTTGCAAAAAAATAGATGAATTTTGGTGAAAATAATTTTATTTTTTTGTTACTTAACTAAAATCACTTTCTCATTCTCAGTATATTTCATTAATTACATTATATATACATGTATATTTATTTGTTGATAAGAGAGGGAATATTATAAATTTTTGATACAATTAGTATAAAGTCTACATCATAATTAATTTCTTCAAAATCAAAATGTTTTAAATTGAAAAACTATACAATATTTCAATAGTTAGTATAAGTACAAAATATTATTAATGACATGAAAAAGACTTAATAGAAACTAACTAAAACGAAATAGTGATGATAACTATATTATTCCATGCAGCTTTTCATAAATACATTGAAAATCAATTATAGAATATATATAGCTGCTAAAAAATTACGAATATAACAACAAAAGGAAATGAACTTATCATAGATAAGTATATTAAAATCTTTTATTATTTTCAGCATTTGCAAAAATGATGTGATATACATTCTCCTAAACAATTTGGGTTTAACCACATGGTGGTGGTTTACTGATAAAAAGGCATAAATGATATGACATTCACAAAAATACCACTTCATGACAAGTATTTGCTTGAAAATATGCTATTTTTTTTTAATAAATAAACCATTGTTACACGCACAATTTCTAAAATATCCATATTTTTTTTTTCTTCACACTTATCTCATATTCACTTTCGTTCTCTTACGATTATCGCTAGTTCGCTACAAATGGGATGAAAATACAAGAAGTGACAATGGTGAAATCAAACGAGAGGAAGCTTTGCTGAAACGAATGATGTACGAAACCAAATAAGACATGGTTCCGATGGTGGTCTTAATTAGAAAAACCGGGTAAAATGAACGAAGCTAATAGTTTGTTCTTTGACTTTGAAGAGTACTGTGAATCCTTTTGTTTATGGCAGAAAGTAACCATATATTGAGCTATTGGTTCTTCGATTATATTGTGAAGAAAGAGAACAAGGTAGAGTGTTAGACATAATTTTTAGTGGTGATTAGAGATGGAGAAATTATACG